TTTATAATTTCCATTAATTGTAAATTATGTTAGGAGAACATTTGCAAAAATGCCTCTCTGGTACAATTTTCGAGAATGTATAGTAAAACATACCAATTAATTATAGGAAATATAAATATCTTGCAACCTGTGTTTAAGATTAACAATGTACGTACTAGCTGGTACCCATATAGCATAGGTGATACCATTTCTCTTTGTCAAGAAGTCTTGCTGTTATTTCTTGGACTTGTTTTGCATTATTTGAGTAAAGAAAAATAGACATTTCAGCAGGATCTAGCTCAAGACTGCTCAAATGAAGCACGAGCAGGCCACATAACCAAATATGAATATTTTGTATTAGTATTTTGTACTAGTGTATAGCTACTTCAGGGCGCCTTCACGATGTCGCTGCTTGTCTCTGGTTGCGTCCTAGAGAGTCGGTGCCTCCTCCGCAAGCGCAATCACCATTAGGGCATGTTCAATGGTAGAGACGAGTATGATCTCTTAAACAATAAAAGATTATTTAGAGACCGTGTCTTTACAATAGTTGGGACGACAAAGACTCAATCATTAACTCAAAAAATATTCCTTTTGTTAATATTCTTTCCATTTTTTTACCCTTATGTAACTATATTTCTATATTTTAGTGATTAAGAGTCGTTGTTATGCATAACAACGATGTTTTGTCTCTCCTCTTTCTATTTCTTCCATGTCAACAAGTATTCCTAATTAGCAACGCTAAGAGACCACTATTGACAAACCATTGTGTATGCCTTTACTAGATAGGACAGACAAGTGGGAGCATAGGATGGCATGGAATACACTTTATGAAAATGCAGAGATGCTACTGGTGTGATCATTGAAGTCAGTGACAGTGTGCGGATGATAGATTGGCATTTTTGGATGTCTATATATATATATATATATATATATATATAAGTTCACCTAGAAATGTGCTTTAGACTTGTGTTTTGCAGAAGTATTATGAGGTTTTTGTTTGTCAGTTGGGAACTATATTGCAAGTAAAGCTGTGTATACACATTAGTAGCAAATTGGCAATATGTGATGTGTGGATATTTTGTTTTGATTATAAATCAAACCTGCTTGAGCAGCTGTGTTTTTTTTGTTCTGCAAATTGAACTAAATTGGTGACAGGAAAGCACACATCCTAGGTCTTGTTTAATCTGGTATGGGTTGCTTCTTTCTCTTATGTGACTTTGTCTAATGCTGTTCAGGACATATATACTAGGTCAAGTTTATGAATTTCCATATAATGTTTCAACTTCCAGCTTAATTGTCCTTATTGGTAGGCATTTTCGGTAGTATGGAATGCATGTTTTAATTAACTTGAAGTATTCTGGTTTGATGATCTGATGGCAACTTGGTTTGTGAAAAACATACTTTTGCTTTTATACCTGAAAAACAATCTTTTGCCGTCATGCTATTATTGTCTTTGCATCTTATTACTTTGAGTTATTTAAATATGTGGAATAGCTAATGACAATCATTCATGATATTGCAGGGCCTTCATCACATAGATATCGATGTTACTGATCCAACTCAGGGAGGATACACGACGGCGCTTAATTCCATTCGAGAACGGGATCAAGAACGTGCTGGGCAGAATACTTTTCATGGAGTAGCGATCACTTCACTGAACAAACAATGGCGTCGCATCAACCTCGTTCATCAGGACAGGCCTACCGTTTCACTGCTGATAGATGAATCGAATGGATATCTGGTTGGATTTCGCAGAGGAGATGGAACCTGGATGCATTTTAACGACCAAGAGCTGCCAAATGTGCCTGGCACAGAGCAGAGGGTGCCAGGCATACCAATCCAATTAAGCTCCTCGTATATGAATTTGATTAAGGATAATGAAAGGTTTATAATAAAATTCTTCTTATTTTAATGAAAAAGTTACTACCTAAGGATTCTTACATGCAAAGTTCTTATAAGTTTCTTCTTTTCAGGCCTTACTTTTCAGTGGGGAGACAGAGTTTACGCCACTCTTACTTTGTGCTGCTCAATTATGATGCGGAGGTGGACTTGAGGAGTGCAATGATGAAGAGACAAAGGAAGGCGTTGACACAGTTGATAATCCTTTTCTGTGAGGCGGCACGGATAAGGCCAGTTCTGGAGTTCATTTCTGAGGCCATGTCAACCGAGGACACCACACCACTGGACGAGACACTCTGGACATGGATCAAGAACTGGTCCACCCTGTCCCGTTTCGCACTCCACTGCAGAAGATGTGAGCGTGATGCTACTCCACTTGACCCCAACGAAATCAAGCACGTCTCCCCCTACGGCATCACCAGCAGGGAGCAAGTTCTGGAGGTGCTACTCCTCATCCTGTCCCGACCTTTGTCCCAACCTTGATCGTATGGTGGTCAGCTGGTGATATGTACATATTTTTTTTCCTAGAAACTTACTAGTCAGACGACCAACCTGGTGATAAGTTTGTCGACAGCACCATCTTGAGATGTTTACCTTTGTGAGTTCTGTGAAGCCCTGGTTTAGCACCTCAAGTGGAGAATCCTAATGGAACGAGTGAGAGTTTCTGAAGCCCTTTTAGCACCCTCATACTTCTATGGTACCGTGCCCCGTCATCTTGGCCGATGACAAGCTGGAAAGTTGGGTGGAACTGTGAGTACTTGATTAGCCCATGGCTGTTACTTCTGCTGTCTGCGCGACTGCGCCTTGAGTTCGTCAAGTTTTCAGGCTAGCTAGCCTATGCCCCTAAGTGACAACTGTGCTTTTTTTCTGAAGGTTGTTGCAAGAGGGATTTTGTTCATAGTATGTGTTTGCTGCGGCTTAACGTGGAATACTTTTTCTGTAAGTTGTATACTTGCTTTGGTTCTGTTAGCTGGCAAGATCTAGATGCTTTATTTGCCCCCGATGATGAGGCACTTCTTTTTCCCTTCTAAATTTTGACATCTGGAATTGCATCATGGATTTGCATGGCGAATATTCAAACTCAAGGATTATTTACTGCTGTATATTGCCAGTCACACGAGTTTTGTTTCTATTTGTTGTTCACTCAGATTCATAATTAGGTAATGAAATGGCAATATATTCCATTACATCAAAGTTGCATGAGAAGGCCTTACTACATCTGAATGTGCGAATTCCTTTGTTGATTGATTGTCGAGCTATGTATATCCCTTTGTTGTATATCAATCGTCAACATTGCAATCTGGAACAATATGATCACAGCATACACATGTCTTTTCATCCATCAGCAATTGTGACCTCCATATCAGTCTGCTGTATATCAATGATGTTGTGACCTTGGCTTATCTTCTGCCAACAGGAAACAAATCCTCTACCGTACCACCCTCTAGCATACGGATCCGCATATCCATCTGTCCTATAATATAAGAAGTTTTAGGGTTGGATACGGTTATTAAGAAAGTATATACTCCTTTCGTTCCAAAATATAATAAGTTTTAGAGTTTGACACGATTACTTAAAAAAAGTAGGTAGAAGTGAATGATGGAAAATTGTGATTGGATGAGTAGTGAATGTAGGTGAGAAAAATGAATGGTGGGGGGTTGTAATTGGTTGAGAAGAGAATGTTGGTTGATAAGTTGTTATATTTTGGGATAAATCCTAAGGGCTAAACGTTGTTATATTTTGGGACGGAGGGAGTACGTCAGGTTAAATGCATCAGAAGAGACTCAGGATTACTGATGCACTGTAAATATCAGGTTAAGTGCATCAGTAATATGACATTCTTTTTTTTTTTTGAGAAACATAGTACAAACGTGCGCACACTCACCCCTATGAACGCACACACGCACACCCTACCCCTATGAGCACCTCCGAAAGACTGGGCCGGCAGTAATATGACATTCTGATCAACTGATTTGAGAGTTTACAGTGCTGATCGATGTATGCACACTGCAGATGCTTCTTTTCAACTCCCTGATGATTTTTGAGCGAAAGAAGTGTGATGATAATGGATGTGATCGATGTGGGGAAAATGTGGTGTTCTTGATGATACTGAAGCTGATCCATTGACTTGTGATGACGAATCCTTAATTTATTTTTGATTTGCGGGTGCATGGCTTGTGATGATGCCACTCTGCATTTGTTGCAGTAATAAGGAACAAATGTTGAAATGGTCGTGGCTTCGTTTCTGAATGTTGTAGGGTTATTAGAAATCTGGAACAATATTCAGGGGAATTGTTGCTACACAAGTTACTGCATACGGAGTACGAGTTAACCCGTTAGCACTACTACAACTAAAAGCAACGATCAGATGATTCGTATGACAACGCCGATAGTATTACCACTGAATGAATACTAACAAGATACAAAAACGAGCATGTGTGCATAAAGAATCTAACCATTTAAATTAAGCTCACATCGTGTCAACTCAAATTTTTGTTACTCGAAATTCAAATAGTAACATCAAACTTCATGGAAATTTGGTATTCATCTGTTTCATATGATAAGATGCTTTAAAATTTTCAATTTAAAAACATAGTAACACTATCAACATAAAATAAACGTACTATTAAAATATTTTCAATGTTGAATTTAGTGAAACTAATCTGACGTTATAAATGTTGTTAACTTTTTTATAAAGTCAAAGCGTATTATAGTATGAAATGGTTAAAATAACATACAACTGAGTACTACTTGAGAAGTTATTGATTTTAAAGTTTTCAATTTTTTTTATCAAATACTATCACTGTAGACATCAATATTTATAACCAAATTGAACGGTTGTCAAATGAGAAACACTCAAGAATCTTCCGGCTAGCTCCACAAGGTAGTGGACTAGAAAATCTGAGTTCGAAGACTCACCTCTTCTAATTTTTGATATTAGGCCATTCTTTTATATTCGCGTTTTTTAACGGCCGTTAAAAAGGATAAAATAATCCCTTGCTTTCTTATTATAGGGCTGTAATTCGTAAAAAGTCTGTGCATAAACAGCAAAGTAGGCCCAGCCAAAGCCCAAAGCCCTTGAGGGCCCACCACTGCACCCTAAATTGCCATCCCAACCGCCGCCGCCGAACCCCATGCACCCTCTCCCCCCACTCCCCTCGCCGCCGCCGCCGCCGACGCCGCCGCCGTCGCCGTCGAATCGAAACCACCGCCATCCCGCATCCCGCGTCGGAGCAGCGCGGGGTGGGCCCAGATCTGACCCAGCCACACCCATCCCTGTGTCGCCGCGCGTCTCCGTCATGCGGCGGGGAGGCGGCGGCGGCGGCGGAGGAGGAGGAGGAGGAGGAGGAGGAGGAGGTGGTCGTGGAGGTAGGGGAGGCCACGCCCGCCGGGACGCGCGGCCGCGTGATGACAGGGGCAGGGACGGCCCCCGTGACGATAGGGTTAGGCACGGCGACCGCCGCCCCCACGACTACCGCCCCCGCCGCACCCCGTCGCCGGGCCGCGACCACCGCATCCGCCGCACCCCGTCGCCGTATCGTGACCGCCGCCGCATCCCGGACTACCACCCGCGCCGCACCCCGTCGCCGCACCGCGACCGTGACCGTGACCGCCACGCGGCGGGACGCCCGAGGGGCCGAGGCGACGACGACCGGGACCGCGACCCGCCCCGCGGGAGGTCGCCGCCGCCGTATCGCGGCGATGATCGCGGGAGGTATGACGGGCCGCCAGACTACATGCTCCCTGACCACCCGTCATCCCTGCGTCCTGCGAGGAAGGACGGTGAGTTCTTCGGGGAACCCGGCATGACACTCCGGGTTTGTTCGACGGAGATGGGAAGGACCAGCTCGCTGTATCTGGACAGGAGGTCGCCGCCGCTGCCACCACGGCCGCCACCTCCACCAGTGCGAGTGGCGTCGCCACCGCTGTACACCTTAGTGCCACCTGCAGAGACTGGATTCCTGACAGGGGGATCCGCGATGAAGGCCGGCGAGAACTTTGGCACGGGAAGTAGCAGGTCGCTGCTTGACGGCGGTGGCGAGTTTCAGTACCGTGACCGTTTGGATGACCCGTATGTTGAGAGGAGTAGAGAAAGAGAGATCGACAGGCTCTATGCTGGTAGAAGCCTGCATCTGGAAAGGGATGGAGAAATGGATAGGCTTTACCCTAGCAAGGGTGTACTTGGTGCTGACCTTGCGCCATCTGCATATGCTGGTTCTTCCTCATCTTTGCTTGCCAAGGAGCGGCCTTACAGACTGCATGATGGAACTAGTTATGAGCCAACCAATGGATACGCCATGGAGGAACTTGGCAGGCTTTCTCATGACACCCTGGGACATGTAAGTGGCCATGCTCACAGATTCTCAGGAAGTCCATTAGAGCATGGCAGTGGTCGTGATGGCAAGATATTGTTGGACATTACAAGACAGAAACACTCGAATCATTCTCCAAGAGATGCGTCCATGGAATATGTAAGAAGGGATCCGGTAAATGCATATCTTCCACCAGAGAACTTACATGGAAATGGCCCACAGGTTTCAAGTCCTAGTGTCAGGCGCATGTTTGGCTCATCATCTTTGACTGGCCGCAAGGATGAAAGGATTGACCACCAAGTGAGGCTGCCACTTAGGATGGCAGAAGATGAGGATACCTTCCAAGGCATGCATGATGGGATGGAGCGTGATGTGCAGCACTCTTACCGTGGAGATGCACTAACACGTCATCGCAGGACAAGGAATTCTGATGTGCGCTACTCACGTTCTCCTGAATCTGAGCGTATTAAACTTGGAAGACACCCAGTTCAACATGGGTATTCTTCATTTGATGATACCCATGAGTTTAGTGACCAAGAAGTTTCTCCTGTGGTTTCTAGAGGAAGACCCCGGAAGGCTATGTATCGTGATCATGTGACAGAACACTACCAAACTGATGATAGCCCTCTAGGACGGGAGTATTATGATGATGATGTGGATTCATATGACCTATCACCTCAGAGAATGGCAGAGCCTTATGATATGGTTGATGACCAAGACAAATATGATGCAAGATATGATTTACCAAACAATCGTAATGTTTTCTCAAGGATTACTTTGCGAGATGACAACAATGATGGGTGGGCTGATGAAGATCAGGAAAACAATCATCAATCGAACTCAATAACCTATGGGCATTCACAAAACAAGCCTATATCTCAGAGGCTGTCCAGACCCACTGGCCACTCACAATTTGGGGGATTTCCCATGCATGGAAGAGGAAGAGGAAAAAGTGCAAAAAAGAGATTAAGATCTGCTCTTCCTCAATTCCATGTTGGATCTACACAAGGGGGAGATGGATTTGTTAGGCCAAATAAACGTTTCAAGCTGACAGAAGTTAATCATGATGACCCTGAAATGAGCCATGAGGATGCCCCAGAGGACGAGGACATTTCTATGCAGAAAGATCCTCCTGAAGGCTCAGAAGAATTCACTAAGCAAGTTCACCAGGCCTTTCTTAAGTACACAAAGCTATTAAATGAGAGCCCGACCGTGCAGAAGAGATATCGTGAGGCAGCAAAAGGATCTTTGTCTTGCTGTGTATGTGGCAGGTTTGTATTTCTTCATCTGTGCTAACATTCTACCACCTAAACAGTTCCTCCTATGACTGGAATGGAGGACTCCTTGAAAACTCTATAACTTTATCGTACCTTGGACCTAGATGTTGCCTAGTCATGTTTATCATACCTGGCCCTCGATCTTGTAGTTTAGGTTACAATAGCTAAATCATATTATGAATTTTATGGTACTTGACTTCCACATGGTTCTACGAGAAACTTTAGGTGCCCTCCACACAGCGCATAGAAGTTAACCTTCTAGTTTAATTATAGGTCAAGTTATTTCTTGTATATGGTACTGTTAGGGTGAAATCGGACGATAGGGTAGTATGTGGCGGGATGATTTTGAGGAAATTTCATGTAGAGTTACTGCCAAGATTGTCTGTTCATGGTTCAATCAAGAGTCAGGCAATAAACTACCGCATGTTGGCATTTTTTATCAGCTTCAGGCACTGAGAGATAGATGCCAAAGATTTTGATCAGTGCAGCAATGGTCTGTTATATGAGTTGACCATTTGACAATCTTCCCTAATGCCACAGCCAATAGTGATGTACATTCTGTGGACTAATGCATTGCAAGGATTTATCAGGACAAGATGACATGAAGAGTGTACAAGTGAAATATGGTTCTGTTGACTGATTGTTGCTTTTGGTTGCTAGTATCTGGGTCTGGGGCAGCCAAGTTTGTATCCTGTTGAGGTCAGGAGCATACAAACCAAATTGCTGTTATGATTCTTTGGATTACCATAATCAAACACATGGAAGGCACAAAAACTTGTGTTTCCTTAATCAGGCAGAATTGTTATGTCTTTTTTCAAGGGCATTCAACGCTTGCCAAGTCGTTAAGGCTGATGGATAACATGTGTTAGTTTGCGAACTAAGACACAAACCAATAGCATCGGCTCTTGCAGTATTACAGCATGTCACTTTTTTATATTCTGGCTAGAGAGTAGAGACTGTAGGTTGAACCAATTGCTGCATTTGATGTTGGGTATTTCGGGTACACAGTACATGCTGCATATTTTGTTATCTTCTATTTTGCTCTTTCCATCCTGGTGAGTAATTTATGCTTGAAAATTCACTTTTGCATTTGCATTAGTCAATTCCTACTGTTTACAATATGAGCATTAGTATAGCGCTGATAAGCTTCATATGGATTGGGATTTCATTTCATATCTGTAGCCTTTGGTAGGTATCAGAAATTGCCATTATTTATGCCTTGACATCTTCCTAGTCCTAATTAAATTGGAATCTCTATATTGAATATTACTTTTTATTGAAGTACCAATTACTACAGAAGTTTTTGCCAGTTAAGTGACTTAATGTTTATTTTTTTTAACTTTTAGCTTTGTTTCAACTTTGTTTTATTACTCTTCTGGTTGCTAAGCATACAACAAACCTTAAACACTTGGTTTATTTTTCTTGTTCAAATCAGATATCGTTGATCTTTGCTTTCTTGGAGTTTGTTATGTGTCATCCTTTTTTGGTTTATTTTAAGCTTTAGACTTCTATTAAAATTTATTGCATGAAGCAACAGTTTGTTTTTGCTGGGTGCATGAATCAACAGTACTGCATTTCATTTCTTGAGATAGCTGAAGGTAAAGTATCTTCAATTCTGTATAGTTTTCCACCTTTACCATCTTAGTTGCAACAATTTGTTTGGCTGATGTTTTTGCTGTTCCTAACCATTTATTTTGTTTAGGGATACTAAATATTTGGAATATTTGCATTGCTATTTCTTATATACTCTTTTCTTTTCCACTATGTTTTCGTCTGCTGCACAGAAGCCACAGCCATGTTCTGCATAAACCCTTCTGAATTCATTACAATTTGTCATACATTATACTGCACTCAAAAGCATAATGGATACCATATTTCTTGTGTCGTAGAATTCTGATTTCATTGAACATTTACATTGGATGTCTAACCTGAAGAACTGCTTTGTTTATTTGTTTTCTTTTTTGTTCACTTCTTTCGCATAACAGTGTCCCAAGGAAGTTTCCGGACATCGATGCCTTGATATCACATGCTTATGATACATGCAAAATGGGTTTGAAGACAAAACATTTGGGGTTTCACAAGGCACTCTGTGTTATGATGGGATGGAATTGGCATGTTGCTCCTGACACTACCAAAACCTATCATTCCATGCCAGATGAGGAAGTAAATGCCATGAAGGATGATCTCATGTTGTGGCCACCAGTTGTCATAATACATAACAGCTCCATTGCAACCAAGGCAAAGGCTACCGATGCAAAGATTGTGTCGAAAGAAGAAATTGAAGGTGTGCTGACAGGTTAGTAATTCATTTAGTCCCAATATAATTTACATTCTATCAGTCCCCCTTTTATTTGTTTGTCCCTGGAGATATTCAACCTAAGGATCGTGGCTATCTAGCTCGAACAAACCATTTTTTTGGTCGCACGCTTCCTTGAACTAGTATGCATCTTCATTTATGGCTATAATCTGTTAGAATTTTTTATAAGATCAGCTGATACAGTGTGAAATCATGTAACTGCTTTTCCCTTCTAGATATAATCTGTTAGTACTTTTGGATAAGAGGAATGCTTGGTGTTGTATATCTGCAGTTTCTGGCACAAAATATAATGTTGAGTTTTGAAAATGCCCTCATGCGTTATTCTTAGTGTCCCTTAAGTTGATATTTTCTTCTGTATCCAGAAATTGGGGTTGCATGTGACAAGGCAAAGATTAGCCATGGCAGACCAGCCAATCAGAGCGTGTTCCTAGTGAAGTTTCTTCCAACGATATCTGGATTTCAGGAGGCGATGAGAATCCACGAGCATTTCACCGTCAAAAGCCACGGGAAGGAAGAGTTCCAGCATATCAAAGGTGGCAAAGGTAAGAAGGATGCTCCTGTTGATGAACTCGAGGAGTTGCTATATGCGCATATTGCAGTCGCCGAAGACTTGGGCTACCTGGATGAGGAAACAAAGAAGAGATGCCTGGTCAGGAGCAAGAATGACATTGAGGCTAAAGCAGATGCTACACTGAACTTGGATTCGTGAAGTAACAGCAACAAATTAATCTAGGCTAGGTTTACTGCGGCTAGTTGAACAGATCAAGTTATCCTACTTTTTGCTTAAATTGTATCGCTGCTCGACCACGTGGCTGCAACCTTGGAATCCATTATACTGCTACGGTTGAACCTTAATGCAATTTATCCAAGCCCTTGAGCTTTTATATTCTAGTTTTCTGTCATTTAATCGTTTTCTTTCTCCTGCACCTTCAAATTGGAGTTGTGATATTTTCCAGATGATGCGTGATCAAATGAATGCCACATGCACACATGATTCTTATGTTAAGTCTCCGTGATATCATTTTTGTTTGGAAGTGTTGGGATGGAAAATGATGGAATGAAAATGGTTGATTACTGGCCAGAGATGTGCTCTCACTGAAAGAGCATCTGAAGGCCACAAAGTTGTGAAACTTGTGCCTCATTACTGTTGCTAATATGTACTAAGAGTTTAAGACCATCTTTTAACACTGTTGGGCATCAGAACAGAGTGCGGTTAATAGGGGTGTTACACTGTTACTGTATTGGTAATCTAAGATTGCAGCATGAAAATGCTTCCTGCCAATTTCCATGCCTGAAAATTGACATCTATCATGGCATAGAAATTTGCTAAGCTGGAACTGGATTGTTATGGTAGTACTTCTATTTTGTCTGTCCCCAGCTGTGTCAGTACCAGAATAATCTGTGCCTTGAATGTGCAGAAACAACCAACCCCTTTTGCTATTTCTACGCAATACGAATTTCTGTTGCTGCTACAATAACACTGTTCTGTAATAGTTGCCATTCTCGTGTGCTGCTGCCATTGATGAGATTAAGTGGAGAAGAGTAGTACAGTAGATGGCATCAACCAAGCAACCAAAGCTTTGAATTGTTGTTTGCACCGGTGCACTGCAGTGCCAGCCACTGACAGGCTTTTCGAGCAACGGTTGCCTCTTGGCCCGAGAGGACTAGGCACGGGTATTCATGGCAAACGTCTTCTTTTTTCCTTCTCTTCTTCCCCTTCAAAGCTAGGGTGGGTGCCACTTTCTTTGTACACATTCACTAGTTCAAGATCGATAAGTATAATATTGTACTACTCCCTCTGTCCCAAAAAAAAAAGACAAACCCTGGTTTCCATGTCCAATGTTTGACCGTCCGTCTTATTTAAAAAAATTATGAAAAAAATTAAAAAGATAAGTCACGCATAAAGTATTCATCATGTTTTATCATCTAACAACAATGAAAATACTAATTATAAAAAAATTTCATATAAGACGGACAGTCAAACGTTGGCACGCAAACCGCGGGTTTGCCTTTTTTTTTGGGACGGAGGGAGTATGTAGTAGGGTTATCGTCAATGTCAAGTAGTACTTCGTGATTAATAAATAATATTAATCCCTGTTCGAATGTTTATGAGCCGATGAAGATTATCCATGGCATGTTTCCTAAGCTTATAAATAATGTGATTTTTTTGTTACAACTTTTTGCTTCTATACCAAATATATATCTATAACCGGATGAGACAAATTATTGTACTACGAATCTGGACTAGGGCTTGTTCAGATTCATTTCTATCTAAATTTATAGTACTAGATTTTTTTTAAAGATAATAGTACTATAATGTTTCATCAAATTCTAGATTACTATATTTTAGGACGGAGCGAATAACTTTATAACAATTACTCCCTTTGTTCTTTTTATATGACGTTGGTTAGTTCACGTTATATATTCAGGGATGGAGGTAGTAATTCATTCGTTGGTACCCTTAAATATTATCACAAAATCAGGTAATCCGTCATCCGTTCATAAGTTTAAAAAGTAGTTCAGTGCATATGTAGTTATGTATGTATAACATGTTTTACTTCTTGGCTTCCATAGTTCAGTTGGAGAATGTATAAAGCCTTCCCATCCAGCAACTTTTTCCCCCTTAAAACTTTTGTATAAAAAACACGAATATTAAGGAATGACATAATATCAAATAATTAGAAGGGGCGAAGCTTCGAACCCACGTCGTCTAGCCCACCACCTTGTGAAGCTAGCCAGAAAACCCTTGTTTGGCAACTTGAGGGAAGGGGATTGGGAGTTTACACGAGGGAATTGATGGTGAGATTAAGATGTGAATTTGATTTTTCATCCCAGTCTCTTGTTTGGTAGAGGTGGTGGAAATTGACAGGGAGTTTAGTTAGAGATTAGGTCATTAATGAAAACGGATGGCTGAGATTTGTTTAGGCGAAGTAAAGGAGGAATTCCCTCCCAATTACCACCCCCACCCGGGTATTGAAAAGGAGGGAGTTCATTCCTCAATTCCCCATCCCCATCCCACCAAAATTTCCATGTCTCCCAACCAAACAAAACAGTTAATAGCCTCATCCCTCTAAACTCTCAATCCCTCCTAAGCCGTAGGTGTTTCTGAAAAAAAAAAGAACTTTTGTATCACATCAAGCTAGTTCGGGGAACCCATGAGAATTGCAACTACTCTGGCTATTAACCCTTTTCAATTAGTACATATTCTTAATTCAGGTTGCGAGACTCGTTGCCTAAAGAGCCGAAAAATGAATAAATAAAACTGGAACCAGATTCTTACCAATTGCAAATTTGCAATATGAGAATTTCTAGTTCCCGGAGAAAAGCCCAGATGAACTCCCAAATCATAGGCCATCCACGTGGCATTCTAATTAAAATGCTGTATACTTCACAATCGCCATGGATGGTGATTGCAGCATCTTAATTTGATTTTTGCTATGATGACACTATTAATTAAGGAAGATGGTTAGCAGTAGCAGAGAGCTTAATTAGTGCTCCCTCCACTCCCCGGTAAGGCGACAATAGGATCGATTTTGACAGTCTGAAGGCCAAACACCACACGGGTCACCCGTAGACCGTTGAAAGTCGCATCATCCAAGTCCAACACAAGTCTCCAAAAATAAAAAATAAAAAAAAACTCCTAGTAATATGTTCTTTGGATTTCCTGTGCCAGTGATCTCTGGATGCTGCTCTGTGCCCAATCTTCAGATCATTTTATTTCAGGATACTATACAGTTTCTATTATTAAAACAAAAAATGGAATTAGTTGTAGCTTTAGGATTTGTATCGGAGTAATGGTGTATTTAAAGAGTCCCATCTTGAGATGCTATATATATGGTGTGTAATTACAAGTTTGCCATGTTTGAAAAACAAAGGGATGGATATAACTTGGTTTGTCAAGGCCTGACATTTATTGCATCATGGGATAAGTAGGTGGGCAGTTTATTAAAGAGGAAATAAACAAGAAAAAAATAATTTCTCATTATAGAAAAATAACTCAGGATTCTTGGCTCTTTTTACCAGTTTCGATCATTTCGATTATGACAACTCCATTGATCACACCATAATTGTTACTAGGTGATTACGTGTTGACGAATTGACTCCAACAGATTGGAAACATGAATATGCATTTCTATAGTGGTATTACAAAAGCAGATAGGGACAGACATGCTTAAATATTAGCCATTGAAATGTGTCTATCCAAAGATACACTCGATTAACATCGTTTCAAAGACAATAAACTTAAATATATAAAAAATGCCTTCTATATATTAATACTCCATATATGATACTACCAAAATGTTCTTTAACTTTACTCCATATCTCTAAAGGTTTTTTTTAAAAAAAGTAGTTACACGAAACTCGTTCGATGGTGCTAACCACAATAGCTATTTCACGAAGCTAGCGCTTGCTATTATAGTTGCTGCCAGCTTAACCATGCGTGCAGAGCCATATACTCTCTCCATCCTTAAATGTTTAACGTTGTTGACTTTTTTAAACATGTTTGACCGTTCGTCTTATTTAAAAAATTTAAGTAATTATTAATTCTTTTTCTATCATTTGATTCATTGTTAAATATACTTTTATGTATACATATAGATTTATATATTTCATAAAAGTTTTTGAATAAAACGAATGGTCAAACATGTATAAAAAAGTCAGCGTCAAACATTTAGGGAATGAGGGAGTATATCATCAATTTATCACCAATCTGAATTTATTTTCCACCTATACTATACCTTTTATCAATCATCATCCTTCAACAAAAAGGGTTGAAATCTTTTTCAATTCTCAAATTTTTTTTCCAAATTTGTGAACGCGTTGCCACTTGCTACTAATTTTGGCAACACAAAAAATCCATATTACAAGCTTTGCTACTCGAATATTATAATAACAGTAGCCACTTGCCCCACACCTCTGCCGGCGGTTACACGCGGTCTCCTCTCCTTAACCCCGTCTTCTCTTCTCCTCCACACGGGAGCTCGCCGCCGCGGCGAGCCACCGCGACCTCCCCTCCCCCTCCCCTTCCCCTTCCCCTTCCCGGCGCGCGCATCGCATGTTCCCGCGACAGCTTCGTGCGCCGAGCTGAGGCGATGTCGGTGGCGCTGTACGCGCGTGGGGGTGGCTGCGGCGCGAAGGCGGCCGCAGCGCGGCGCTCGGGGCGCGGCGGTGGTGGGCGGAGGCGCGCCGCGGTCGTGCTGCTGCTCGCGCTGGCGTACGTGGCGGGGCTGCTCGTGTTCGTGCTTGCGGGAGGCGGTGGTGTTGGAGTTGGAGGGCGCGTGGAGGTGGGGCGAGAGGTGGGGGTGATGACGGTGGCCTCGCTCCGGAGGCGGCGCGCCGCGGCGGCGGCGGCGCCGCAGCCCGGGTCGGTGTACCGCAGCCACCTCGTGTTCGAGCGGCTCTGGCCGGACATCCGCGACGACGCCAGCTCCGCCTCCGCCGCCGCCTCGTCGCTCTCCTCCACTTCTTGGCGTCGCAGCATGGTGAGCGAGCAGAGCAGCCCAACTAGTTCTTGCGATTCTTGATTGTTTCTTGCCTTTGATTTTGGGTTCTCGCGATTCTTGATTGTTTCTTGTGAGAAACATTTCTTTCTTGTCTTTTGATTTTTGTGTTCTTGCTTCTTTGTGCGTTGTAACACGATGGAATAATGAATCAGAAGATAATTTCGGGACCATTTCGTTTATTTTGCTCCGATTCATCACGGGAAAGATGCGCAATCCGTTCTTGTTTCGTGAGATGTGCACTTCTTGATGCTATTCTTCAGAAAAGAGAAGAAACAAGTTCAGTTCTTGATTCCTTTGTGCCGTTCTTTGTTTCTTTCCCCTTTTCTGGTTACAGACGATGGATTTTAGTGAGCTCACATGCCTTGCGCATTATGATTTTACTGTACGGACGCTTCATTCTGCTTTGCTTGCTCATGATTAGATGTAGTACTTTTGTACTTTTGGGTGACAGCATTATGCTTGATGAGCATTTAGTCCATGATTTTAATTCGACCGGTGAATATGTGCTTTCATAGTTAGTGCAAAACCATTCTTAGGATGCTCCAAAATTGGGTCACTAAACCATCCTACTTTTGTTCTTCGTAAGAACCAACTTTTACATTTCAGAAAGATTCCTGGTTCTATCCATTATCATGTAGTACTAATATATGGAAATATTTGTTTGCATTTGTATCGTGCAGTTGATGACATCGCACTATCAGAATCCTGGGGAGCTATGGATGCCTTGTGTCAACAGGAAGCTGATTCGACCAGGTTCCACTTTGTTGAAAACTACCTTTTTCTAGGTCTTGTGCCCCATAATCATAAGCACTGAAAAGGGAGAATTTTACTAACAATGTCGTGTTACGCATCGGTTCTTTGCAGAGTTGCCACCTTCAAATGGTTATCTCATGATCGAAGCGAATGGTGGTCTGAATCAACAGCGTCTTTCGGTGAGTTCTAGGATCATCTTTTATGTTTATTAAAAAAAAAGTACTCATATATGATCATGCCTCTGAGTAGATAACTAGATATGCGATTATCAGTATCTTATTTAAAAGTCTAGTGCCATATGCACCTTTTTAAGCACCACTAAATCTAGTTGGGTAGTCACATTATTGCCACAAGGTGTCACTCAACTGAGATGGCATCTTCAGCAACTTTGTGTTGAAGAAGTGGGATTGTCACTAGACTTGGGTTTGTCCTGGAAAAATGATTTCATTGAGACTCAGAACCTTCTAAATGTTTCTGGCTTTGGATGCTCCAAACAAGCTGCTTAATATCTGTTGGCTAGAACCTGTCCAAACACGCCTGGGGTAGCTATCTTGGCGGTCCTGTAGGACATCTATGATTTATCCAGTGTGTTATACATAGTTTTCTTTTTTCAGCAGGTTATATACTATTTGATTTATTGTTCCTAACATATTTCTTTTCATCCAAAAAGTTTGACAACAATGATGTGTTCTCTACCATTAACTCTTAGCTGTGATACAGATGATCTGACACTTCTGAACTTCTTGGAATCTTTCACATATGCTAAGTAATTATTAACACATATTTTCCAATGCAGATCTGTGATGCAGTTGCTGTGGCCAGTTTGCTTAATGCAACTCTTGTGATCCCAGCATTTCATTTTAATAGTGTTTGGCGTGATCATAGGTAAATATCTATTTTTTTCATCGCTTTGTGTCTTATTATGAATAATGCCTGTCTGTAGCTGTTTTCACTTTGAATTGCAACCACATGTCAATCCTTGGGAAATTTTCTTGTGTGCACAAAGTTCATAATTGTTTAAATATACCAATTTTATTTGACATCCCAACTCAAGAAGCGCTCAGTACTTCTTTTCTTTTATATTCCTTTCTTCCAACAAGTTTTTGTTTTCCAGTGTAAGATTGAAGCACATGTTATTTGACAAGACAAATCACATTCGAATAACACTTGATGGAATGCAAATTTGCCATCTGTCTATAGTGGCATTTGCAATTTCTCATATATGCTATTTTACTTTCCATTTATGCAGTTCTATATATTGTTGTTCTAGCAAAGTAGTAAGCAGTTTCAGGTTGCTGTTGTGTTGACCTGTTCTACTATTTTTCAGCAAATTTGGTGACATCTTTGACGAAGACCATTTTATTGAGACACTCAAAGAACATGTTAGAGTTGTGAAGGAATTACCTGTAGATGTTTTGACGCGCTTCGATCATAATATCAGCAGCATACCAAATATGAGAACTAAGGCCTATTCATCTCCAAATCACTATATGCAGAAGGTGCTTCCGAAATTGCTGGAGTTAGGGTATGGTAAACACTCACCACCCATGATAGAGAGAATTTGATTGAACATTGTTTCATTTTATTTTCTATTCCATTCAGGGCTGTGCGAATTGCCCCATTCTCAAATAGACTGGCACAATCAGTTCCATCAAATCTCCAGGCCTTGAGATGTTTTGTTAACTACCAAGCGTTGAGATTTGCTGAGCCAATAAGAGTTCTCGCAGAGGATATGGTTGAAAGGATGGTAAAACGGAGTACTTTGACTGGTGGGAAGTTTGTATCAGTACATCTTCGCTTCGAAGAGGTTTTGACATTCTCTCTCCTGTAAGTTACCAATTGCATGTTTTCATTCATGCAACTAACCTTTTGTGTACCACTGTATTGTTTAGGATATGGTAGCTTTTTCATGCTGTACATATGATGGTGGCTTGAAGGAGAAAACTGAAATGGAAAATGCTCGTGAAAGAAGCTGGAGAGGAAAGTTTCATCGGCATGGTCGAGTGATCAATCCTGAGGCAAACAGAAGAGATGGAAAATGTCCTCTTACTCCTCTAGAGGTTACCTTTTCCTTTCCCTTCTTCACTTCTCGTTTATTGCATAATGTTAAAAATTGTTGAGTCTAGGTTTGGCCTTTTAGCAGTTTAGGAGACCATCTCATGTGACTGACACAGTTGCACATGTGCACTGAAGCTTGCATTGCACACCATTATCTTAGACTATTTAATACGTGCCGCATCTCCTTTCTATTTTTTATTCATACTGAATTATGTAAGTGTGCTTAGTTGTTGAAACCTCAGGTTATTACCACCATGTGTAATTTAATTACCATCAAGTGAAATGCCTTCTTTTAAAGCACTAAAGATAATGTGCAACTGAATGCACTTGTGCAGGTTGGTATGATGCTGCGGGGCATGGGATTTGACAATACCACCTCCCTCTATGTTGCTTCTGGTAAAATATACAATGCTGAAAAATACATGGCACCGCTTCGACAGATGTTCCCTCTTTTGGCAACAAAGGATACTCTTGCTTTGCCTGAAGAGCTTGCTGAGTTTGAGGTATTGTTTGCCCCCCAGGAACTCTGTTTTCTTTTCAGAATTTTGATTGTATAGGCACTCATGAAACTACTCACCATTTTAACATTTGGGTTTGTTGTGTTTAATACTAGAAGCATTTGTTTAAGTGAATGACATCAATTGGATTATCTCCAATTCACCAACCTATTGTTCTCTGTATTCCACAGGGGCACTCATCTCGATTAGCGGCATTAGATTACTCGGTCTGTCTTCCGAGTGAGGTCTTTGTGACAACTCAAGGTGGGAACTTCCCTCACTTTCTGATGGGGCACAGGCGCTACCTGTTTGGCGGGAATGCAAGGACAATAAAGCCAGACAAACGGAAGCTGGTTTTATCTTTCGATGATCCGAATATCAGGTCAGTTTTGATCTTCCATTTGCACCATCACAATAATAACCCATTAACCTAGCAGGCAATATGTTTTGTGATCAATGAAAGTAGAAATGTCATGGCTGTCACAAATCTTGCAAAATCAGCTTCCATTTTGACATTCTGCTAGAAAGACTCTTCCACACAATTAAAACTGCTTTTAGACAATATATCTGTTGACCGAAGATGGTCGGTGTTTCCTTTCCAACAATGTATATTTGAGTTGACCTTAGCCTAACTTCCTCATTGTCTTGCAAACTAAATACAACACCTTCTTAGTCAGACTTTCACACACACACGCACACACATTATTGAATAATCTCACTTGCTTAATAGCTTTGCAATGTCATAAAATTGGTTTAGGACCAAACTGAAACACCTCTTTTGTACTACTGCAGATGGAATCGGTTCAAGCGCCACATGCAGGATATACTACACCATAGTGACATGAGGGGCACTGCATTGAGGAAACCCAATGATTCCATATACACCTTCCCAATGCCTGAATGTATGTGCCAGCAAGATGGGATGATGTAGGCCTTGTATGATTCATGCACATACGTCGAGGAGGAGGAAATATGCAATTTTGTACACTCTGTAATGATCTGTAGGTAGCCACCACCACCGTACAGAAGCAATCTTTGGCCGGGAATTTGTTGATTTCTGTCTGTAGATTGTAGAGAGAGGAGAGGTGAAAATTGGTTCTGGTTGTAGATATGATGAAACACATGCTGTTGACAAGGGACAGCCTGCCCTGTAAATGTATATGCAGTAAAGAAAGAAACAGAAAAGGCTAACAACTACAGTATTATAAAGAAAGAGAATTTCAAGACATTGTCATCAAGTTACTTTTGTCTATCTTGTACTAGACTAGTTAGTTCATCTTGCTCACACCAAGTTGACCATGAAGTTCACATGGTTTTGTTGCCAAGAACTGAAGCTAATACTCGTAAACAGAACTCCAGTAGTTGGTGTTGCTATAGTGATATGCTGCTGCCGCTGCCGACAGTTGGTGTTGGTACTGAACTTATTATTGAGCATTTGATGCGATGCGAATGGAGGAACGCTGTGAGAAACGGAGATATTCGACCAATGCATAGTGTATTAAATATAAACGAAAGAAACAAATTACACATATTATGTGTAAATTGCAAGACAAATCTTTTAAGTCTGATGGTGCCATGATTTGATAATGTGGTGCTACAATAAACATTTGCAAATGATAGATTAATTAAACTTAATAAATTCGTCTTGCGTTTTACATGCAGATTCTATAATTTATTTTGTTATTAGACTATATTTAATATTTTAAATGTGTATTCGTATATTTGATGAGGTACATCCAAATTTTACAACCTATCTAACCACAGCCATATATGTGTGCGTCAACGCGTCTAATCGAGGAGGATTTGGAGCTGGAGTTGTTGGTGAGGTGGCGCCTCTTCATGCCCCCTCGCCGGCCAACTACTGGACTACGGGAGCAACGCTTTCAGACTTGTGCACTAGGCACTGAGACAGTGACTATTAAATGAAAAGAAAATACTTCCTCCGTATTTTAATGTAACGCCGTTGATTTTTTGATAAACGTTGGACCTTTTATCTTATTTAAAAAAATTATATAATTATAATTTATTTTATTGTGACTTGATTTATCATCAAATGTTATTTAAGCATGACATAAGTATTTTTATATTTGCATAAAATTTTTGAATAAGACAAGTGATCAAACGTTGGTTAAAAAGATAACGGTGTCATACATTAAAATATGGAGGGAGTAATAATGTCAGATTTGGTTTTGCCACGGTGAGAGATTGTGGACAAAGTTGTCACTGTTCGTCACTTGGACCTGGGCTACAACACGACGGGGCCTCGTGAAAAATGTTTCTCTTGTGTTTTTTGTGTGCCCTACTACTCTTCTACTGCTGCCCTGTGCTGCTGTGTGAGCTGGTTACAATAAGCACCATGGATTTTGTTTAGAGAAAAAAGAGTGACTCATGTTTACCTATGGCATTTTATATATTTGAGTGTTTACCGTATAAATCCTAAAATTTCTCTTTAGGTTGTTCAGAACTTCAGATTATGCCATTTTAATCCATACCAATTTTTAATAAAGTTGTTAAAGATGTGCATCCATTTAAATTTTTTTTACCAAATTTTAGATACATAAGAAATCTTGTCAAAACTTGTCAATATTGTCAAGTTGTCAAAGTTTGATAAGGTTTATTTTGGCTATAATCTGAACAACCCCTATGCTCACCAAGGAGATATAATGAAATTAATAATTGAGCGAAATACATTTTTTTCTTACTCTATCTGTCCCTCTAAATATAAGCATGTGTAGGATTCAAATTTTATACGCATCCTTGGAACACTAATTTCAATGCATGTGAATCTAGATATTTTTAGCCATTACGATGGAGGGAGTGGATGTTTGGAGAAGAAATCGAATAAATTGGAACGAAATTATTTTTCCTTAATTTTAATCTTTACTAAATAACCTATAAATACATATACTCCCTCCAATATTCATATTGATAATCATGTAAGTATTTTCACCAAGACCGAGGAATCATTAACTTCCTTATATTTTATTTAATGTAAGTATGTGGTGGGAGAAAAAAAAATCAAGAAACGGTACCTTGAAACTCGAATTAAATTTAAAAATATCCTGTTCATTCTTTTTTCTCAGGAATATTCGAGATGCAAAATATTTACAGAAATATACTGTCGATCTCGCACAATCATTACGCGTGGGTGTGACGTCGCGGGCGGTATCGCACGAGGAAAACACAAGACCGCGGTCTCGTGGAATGGAAGAGCGGGACTGAATGGTCTCGCAAAATCAAACAACGACACTATCCAACGGCTCCATTTGATTAGTGATTAATTACTTAATTAATAATTAACTAATAATAATTAATGATTAATTATCCTAATTAGTGATTAATTTCAGGATAATTAATCGCTAATTAAATCGGCATTGAACCGGTATCGATCATTGCATGAGCAAGAGCGCTCCGCTGCCGCGCGGTCTCGCGCGATACTGCCCGCGACGTCATTTCCACGTCACTTTTGCGCAACGGTTGTACGAGACCGATGGTATATTTTTGTAAAAAATTTTGCATCCCGAATATTCCTGAGAAAAAAAATTGAATGAATAGTATATTTTTAAATTTAATTCCTTGAAACTCTCCTATGCAAGAAACAAGAGGCTTACTATCCCAAATGCCTGCATGCATGCATGCAAACTCAATTTGCATACATAAATGCAATGATGCAGTACATACCAATCGATGGAACTAATCTTATATGATGATCAATTTGAAATATCTCTTTTTAGTTATTATGTAATAATTATTATAAAATAGAGGGAGTATTTAAGTACTCTATCGTATTTTAATGTATGACGCCGTTGATTTTTTTATCACATTTGAACATTTGTCTTATTTAAAAAAAATTATATAATTATCATTTATTTTGTTGTGACTTTATTTATCATCAAATACGGAGGGATTTTTTTTATCTCATATACTACCAGCCAAGGTTATTGTGATATAGGCTGTGTTTAGTTTTTTTAAAACTTCCAAAAATTCCGTCACATCAAATATTTGGACATATACATGGAGCATTAAATGTGGACGAAAAAAAACCAATTGCACAGTTTGCATGTAAATTGCGAGACGAATCTAAACACGACTCTACTACAGGACGCTGACGAAACTTAGGACGAAGCCGGCATCATCGATCAGTACTGTACCCTGACCATCGCATGCACGCAAACGGATGATGATGTTAAAATGGAGAAGCATAATCCCACATGGACGCCACATGTGTCCCTCACATTGGTCGCCGGATAGCTGCAGCATGACACGCAATGCATTGTTTGTCCCCCCAAATCAAATCATCATCACCTCCCAAAAAAACAAATCTCTATTACCATTATCTTAATATGCAACTAATCTCCTGAAAGCATAAACTAAAAAGAAAAGAGTCATCGAACAACAAGCAGTTCCATGTGCAATCAATTAATCTGCTACAATCACTCATCATACAAGCAGTTCAGTTTCATGTACAATTAATTAATTACAAATCAACAAGAGCAAGAAACCGCAAATCAGCAACAAAATTTGCTCGAATTGGACTCCTAATTTCTAATTTAATTGCTTTTTAAATTAATTTCTCATGTTCCTGCAAGCTCAGATCTCTTCCTATCACCATTTACAAGCTACAGATTTCCCAAAAAGAACCCCAAAAAAAGAAAAAGAGAGAGATTTTTTTTCCCTTTCTGGCTACGATTCTACCGGTGGTGGATCGGCGGCGAACTCTCCGACGAGCTCCATCTGATCCTCGAGATACTTCTGCAGCAGCATCCCCCGATCGCCGCCGGAATCCTCCCCCTCCCCCTTCTCCGGCCACCGTCCTCCTCCCCCTCCGCCGCACCGGCGGCGACCACCCGTCGCCGCCGACGACCTCATCATCCTCACCCGCCGGAACCTGAAGACGGCCACCGCGCAGCAGAGCAGCGGCAGCCAGAGCACCGCCAGCGACAGCACCACGGGGACCAGGCACAGCGCCACCCACGCCGCCGCCGCCGCCCTCCACGACGGCAGCAACGGCGCCGCGCCGCCCATCACCGCCTCCGGCGGCGGCGGCGGCAAGAAGGGGATCAAGCTTAATCTGCTCGTCGGATTTGGATTTATTTTCGCGGCAAAAGATTTTTTGCTCCTTCCCTTTTTATGAGCGTTTGGTTCGGTTTGCACCGAAAGCAGGAGAGTCCGATTCGGAAAAGTGGTTAGGGGATTCTTGTCTGAATTAAGCTGAGGGAGGTGAGATGAGAGAAAGGATGGGGCCCTCGACGTTTTATTGCCGCGTCACCGTGGGTCACTTTCGCTTTCTCTTGCTTCTGGGAGAGGATCAGGTTAGGCTATTCTCTACTTTCACTTCAGGCTTCCAGCCATGCCTCACACAGTCACACTTTGATTGATTTTTTTAAAAGAAAAACTGAATTGCTGATATTTTCATGATATTTTCTGTGTCTGTGGCCCACTTAATTACTCACCGCGTTCCATGTTCATATTGTAATTTGTTTTAGTTTTTTCATAAATTGTAGAAAAACACACCAACGTCTGTAACATCCGATTGATTTCATCATTAAATCCATCATGAATATGTCTTGATAGCATATCTATTTGTTACTGTAGAGGTTGATATATTCATTCTTATTAGTGGAGGATTTTCAGCACATGTAAAATGAGAAAAAACTTATTAGCACATGATTAGTTAATTGTTTACTATTATAAACTTAAAAAATAGATTTATTTGATTTTTTAACAAATTTTATATTTATTTATTTTTATTCTAAAAAGACATAATTGAACCATTTGAAATAACTAAAAATGATGAAGGTGAAGTTTGAAGTTGAAGAAAAGAACAAAGCCTAGATATAATTAGAGAAGTTTGATTCAGAGCAAAACTAAAACGACATAAATGGAGGAAATAAAGTAAATAATTTCAAGAAGAAGGTGGTAGGGAAATGAGCATTCTTTTACAGTTGGTCAAATGATATGGTATAGAAGTGGTTACATATTTTAATGTGCGGAATTAAGAGAGAAGATGGGCTTCCGATCTTCATTACTCCTTTCACTTGTCCTTCAAAGTCGTGACCACTGACCACATTATGTTTCTCTGAAAAAAAACTGACCACATTATCAATAATTTTCCTTTTCAAAAGAAGTCCTCCAAAGTAGACCCATTCAGATTTCAGAGTCAACTTTAGTCCTTTTTTGAAACATATTTTTACGTTGATATTAAGACAAATTTACATAACTAACACGATAAATTAATATTTTAAGAAAAAAACTTCCTAGAACAATTAATTTAAACAATATAGCAGAAGATTTTTTTTTGAGAAATCATATTTTTAGAAACATGGAGCAAATAACCCGTGACAAAAATATGAAAAAAAGACATGAAACGTACATGGGCTCAGATTGTGGTGAGTGGATGGTAGCAATAGATTACTCTGATTTTGTGACATTATTTAAGAGTATAAAAGAACTAATTAAACATTGAAAGTTAAAAAATATATTTACAAAGCAAGACATTTCTGCATAAAATATTTTTAATAAAAGTTAGACCGTTTAACGATTTAAGAAAGGTGGGTAGCTAATAAGCTAACTGCTCACACCGGAGTTCGTCGCCGCGGCCGCCGGTGACGACGGCGGCGGCTGCAAGAAACGGCTCGGTTCTTTGCTTGCTTGTTGCTCTGGCCTTGAGGTAGTGAAGCAATAGCAGTCGTAAAAGCTTGCTTGCTTGCTTGTTTACGGCAGTTTACGTTGCTTTTGCTTCTACCAAAAGCGTTCAATTCGTCGCCAGGTTCAGACTGACAGGCGTGCCCATGACGCCATCATTTCTGTTGCCGGCCGGCCGAAGCAAAGAGATGGTTTTTTAATGGGGAAAAAACTTTACCATCACCTTGGCATGTTTTATGCAGTACCCCATGGTTAGCTATATACTACTCCCTCCATTTCACAACGTAACATTAACCACATACATATAGGCCGTGTTTGCATCCCCATGTTCCCAACACATCACCCTCGTTTTCCGCGTGCACATTTTTCAAACTACTAAACGATGCGTTTTTTGCAAAAAGTTTATATGCGAAAGTTGCTTTAAAAAATCAAATTAATCTATTTTTGAAAAAAAATTATTAGCTAATACTTAATTAATCACACGCTAATGGACCGCTCCATTTTCCGTGCGGGAGGGATTAGTTCTCATCACTGGAATCCGAACACAGCCATAGATGTTAATGAATCTAAATACATACATATGTCTAGATTCATTAACATCTAAATAAATATGGGCAATGCTAGAAAGTCTTACATTATGAAACGGAGGAAGTATATCTGTTTTTAATAAACAATATCATTGACTTTTAGACACATGTTTGATCATTCGTTTTATTTAAAAATTTTATACAAATATGTAATATATAAATTGTTCTTAAAATATTTTTAGTGATAAAATATTTCATAGCAAAATAAATGATAATTACATAAATTTTTTTAATAAGATGCATGGTCAAACTTGTACCTAAAAGTTAACGGTGTTATCTATTAAGAAAACGGAGGTAATATGTCATTTTCAATTAAAAAGCTCCGGTTACTCTGTTTTGAGATATATTTCCTTCAAAACAAGACAGTACATATGTGACCAAAGCAACAAATTATCATAAGCGTTATATATATTTCATTACTAAAAAAATAAGCGTTTTATATACCTCTACTTTTAATGGTTTTATAGTAAAATCTGACGAGCGACAAAAGAAAAGGGCCCATTAGTAAGTAAAAGAATCGGGCTTGTTTATTTACTCTCTCGCGGAAAATATATTATTGTAGGTACGCTTCTCAAGCTCATAAACGACACATGATTTCTCAATTAACTTTCTTCATTAGCATGTCTGAGAATTTTCTTTGAAAATCAACTTACTTTATATTATTTAATCCATTCATTTGTGCCCTCAAAGAAATTCAGGGGCGAAGCTAGTATATGTTAGGGGGTGCCCAGGAACCCGGTCAAGAAAATTTTTTAGCTATACCTCATCTATTTTCACCATGTATGCACCCCTTTAATACAAACTTAGACACCCGTATCAGTTTAAACTCGATCTAAAGTAAAATAAATTAAGCAAGTGGCACCACCCTCTATTTCACTCTAGCTCCGCCCCTGCAAAGAATTATCATAAATTTAGTTTTATCCATAATCTATCCTCCACCAACACTTTAGGACACACTACTTTTCAAAATGTAAAAACCGGTTGCTTGCGACATACATATAATATAAGCAAAGAGAAATTTTATGCTTCTTTAGAAAATATCTTGAGTTACCTAAATTTTACACTAAAATTTATAGTATCTCTGAAGATATTAAATTTTACACTAGAAAATATGGTATCTATCGGTAGTTTCTTAAGGATGATAAAATTACCCACAAGCAAAGGATCAAACAAAGCACACCTAGCTATTAGCCAAACATCCACATCACTATAATTAAAATAAAAATAATTTATATAAACTTGTACATAAGTGTACGTGTCTATACATCAACGTGTATGTATATACCTACAAATTTCTATGAGATCCATGCATTAACTGTTACTGTACTAGTTGGCATTGATGGAGCGATGCATCCATACTCTTGTGAAGAGGTACATGTTGGAGGGGCCAGCAAGCACATGGCCATGGAGTAATGCATTCTATTATTTCCTTCTTTTTTTTAAATGTACGACACCATTAATCTTATTATATGTGTTTGGCCATTCATATTATTAAATAAATATATACTAATTATTTATTTTATTATGATTTGATTTATCATCAAATATTATTTAAACATGATTTAAATATTTTTATATCGGCAATAAAAAAAGATAAATGGTTAAACATTGATAAAAAGTTAACAACGTTATACATTTAAAAAGTGAAGGTAGTATTTTTTTTTTCTTTTAAAGAGAAGGGGAGAATATAATAGTGGTACGTTTTAATGTAGTTATGGACAATTTCGTCAGGTAGGGTACGTGCAAATATATTGTCGTGCGTGCAGCGTACGTAGTGACGCAGTTTCATGTGGCGGTTCGTCGGTGGATCACAGCAGTGTCGATCAGGTACCCATAGCTTCGTGTCCACTGCACGCCAATGCTACCACCAGCCTTTTTTTTTTAGAGAAGGGTATTTTTTATCCGGCCTCTATATCCAATTGGATATATACGACCATTGAAATAGGGAACTTAGCCCCGCAAACAACCCAATCTGAAATTCGCTCCATAGGAGATTTGAACTCAGGACCTTGGGGTACTACTTAGGTCACTGTAACCACTACCAGCCTAGAATACCTAGTAGCATGTGGCGTTCTTAGAGCAAGTTTAATAGTATAGCCCACTACTAGATCCACTTCATCTATAGCTAATCTAATAGCCAATTCATACCATAGTTGCTTACTATACTATTAATACCTGGCCCTATCTGTCATACACACATTATGTTTTGGAGTCCGTGCTGCAGCTGGCTACAGATCTGTAGCCCGATGTTCTTCTCTCTCTTTCTTTATCTCTTTAAAATATGTTTATAGCCTGCTATTGTACCTGCTCTTAGCTCTAGGCCTTAATCAATTGACAAAGCTAACCATATTAATAAGTAGTAAGTTAATTTAGTAAAACTGTAACTAATGAAATCATCACAAATGCATTGACTAACCTAATCAAATTATAAATCATCAAACTGTTGAAGCAAAACTTTTCAAATGTATGGTTTTGTGATATAGAGATTCACATGTGGTGATATAACTATGTAGTTTTGGGGTAGCTAGCTTCATCATAGCTAAATATACAATTTTGCAATGTCATGAGACCTAAATCCGTAGTTATTGGATAAATTTGACTTTAGTTTTGTGATATTGGGCCTTCAGTTGTGGTTTTGTCAACTGGCCTGGCCCATAATTGTTTTATCATACCATAAAAAGAAGGGAGTTATTATTATTATTATTATTATTATTTTTTGAAAACAGGGAGTGTATATATGACACTCGATTGTACTATCTCCATATTTTAATGTATGACGCCGTTGACTTTTTTTTCAACGTTTGACCATTCATCTTATTAAAAAAATTATGTAATTATTATTTATTTTATTGTGACTTGATTCATCGTCAAATGTTCTTTAAGCATAACATAAATATTTTCATATTTTCACAAAAAAATTGAATAAAACGAATGGTCAAACGTTGGTCAAAAAGTCAATAGCATCATACATTAAAATACGGAGGGAGTAATAAATTACATAGGTTTCCATC